GTAACCGAACAATACTCTCGATGAATGCCTTTTCGCACGTAATTTGCTCCGGAGTGTAAAGTTTATTCTGTGCAATGCTCGGGAGACTTTCTATTTCCCAGAATTTTCGAATCAACATGTCTACACTGCAATGATCTTGAACCGCGCTCAACATTGAGGTAGCCTGTTTGAAATTTGTTTTTGATGACTTGCACCGACCTGATACGATCCATCCAAAAACGGAATTTTGTAGGACTGGACCATATGTTTACTGCTTGAATTTCCCTTCCTTTAACAACTCGAAAAATGCGTCAGCACCAAGCAATATGTCAATTCTCTGAGGTTTGTGGAACAGTGGATCAGCTAACTTTATGTTGTCAGGAAGGTTCCAGTCTAACACTTGAACTGCCTTTTCTGGTTGGGACGATTATATTGACTTTAGAACAATAAGTTCAGCTTCCAATTGAAATGCCTGTGTTCGGGAGTGTATAGTTGCTTCAACTACATGGCGAGCTAATACAGCTGATTGACCTATTCCAAGAAGGTTTGTGTCATTTCGATCGCGCTTAAGTTTTAGAATTTTGGATAACTCCTCTGTTATAAAGTTTACCTGTGACCCGGAATCTAAAAGCACACGAGCAATGTCCATTTGACCATTGCTACCTGTAATGTTAACAAGGGCTGTAGCTAATACAATTTGATTTGAGTCGGCTGTCATCGCGTGGTGGACGGCAGAGGTGGTCAAAGGTTGTGTCACAATCGGCTTTTAAGTGGAAGCTAACTCTGACGGTGAAGAGTCGGAGCTGTATCTATGAAGCAGTGAATGATGTGGCTTCGAACACGCGCGGCACTTAGAGGATTGACACGAAAGAACGGAATGCCCTTTCCTTGAAAGTCTAAACTTTCTTCCCATTTAGACTTAGTTTTTGCATCCACTTTGGTCATGATGATGTGTATGAGCATTGCATTTGCTATTACTTTGTCACTGCGTAGTGAAAGCAAGGATTCGTAGATAGCTGTGACAGTATCTATCATGTGACGCAGTGACAAGGCGGACGGACCATGCATTGAGGGAATGTCGAAGAGGCGTGAAATACAATGAAAAAAAATTAAACACTGATTGTCGTACACCCGATTTAAGGCGGCTAGTGCCTTTGGGTAATTGGTCTCAGTTATTTGGTATGCTTTCACGGTCCCCAACGCTTCTTTCTCCAGACATGACAACAGGTGATTAAATTTTTCGACGTCGCTAAGAGTTGGATCGCTATCTATGAGACTAGTGAATAAACCAATAAAGTTCTTATACTCTGATTAGCATCCGGAAAACTTGGGTAAATTCATTCGAGGTAAAGTTTGATTGTGGAAGCTTGTGGTATTAAGGGTCGAGTTAAGTAACGGTGGTCTTTGATTCTGTGCACTAGCTGACATATAAAGAGATTTTGTGGCAACACACTTATCCTCAAGCTCAGCTCGCGAGGACAATACCGGATTAATGGACTCAATTTCCTCTTGAAGGTTAAATGCACGATTTATGTAATTGTTTAAAATCTCATAAACTCTCCCATGCGGTCTATGTCACCCTTTACACTTTCAAGAGTAATGAATTAGCACGATCGTTGCCATCATTGACATCATGTACACTTGAACTTTGCTGACGACTTAAACGTCGCTTCGGAGCCATGATGCAATTTTACGCTAAAATGTCAATATAAGTGAATCTTTGCCACCCACTGATTTAATTTAAATTGAATTCTCAAGTAGAAAGCACAGTTATCTAGTGTTACGATAGGTTATTGATTGAACTTATTTTAACTTTGGAACTTTGTTATAACTGTAGCCGAATTGTATGGGAGCTGAAGTGCAAGCGTGAGCCGTTACTCTACAGCAGAGAGACAAATTGAACAACTCGAATCCACAAAACTCGGGCTAAGCGCAATTAAGGTGCTGCAACGATTTTCAAAGCTCCCTCTGATCGATGAACTGTATTTTTGCTGTATGTATGTGTGTGTGATGTGTGCGATGGTATGTGCATGTGAAGAGAGAAAGAACGGCACCAAGCAACTAAAGAACCAACCTGTAATCTTGGCACGTGTTTGCCTCAAAACTTACGCCTTGGCTGATATTTGCAGGCTTATGTATGTAGTTCATTTACCAAAATGCTATCAATTTGTTACTTAGCGATTAGCGAAATCCAGCGGCGTGTCCAGTACAAGCCCAAACTGAGATTCCACGGTGAATGTATATATGTAAAGCTGATCTGCTATATGAACGATGAATTCAAGCGGTCGAGTACAAGCCCAAACTGAGATTGCGGATGGACGTATAGCTGATCTGCTATATATATATGATGATACGTCCTTCTGAGTCCACCCGGGGGCGCCAAAAATTGTTTGCTCCAAATGGCAAACTGCGAAAATGCCTGTTTCAGGCCAGCAACTATGGTCCCAGTAGAAACGCATCAACCGAATTCAATGGAAGTTCATTTATTACTGGTTTCTATCTGCTCCTTCTATTCTTTCCTTCGAAACTGCGTCGCAGCGACTAACAAGAACGAGTACTTAACAGAGCGATAATATTTTTAAGCGGTACAATTCAAATATTTCTCATAAGTATGGGAGTAAGGAACACACGTAGATATCTTGCAGCTCGGGCTCGTTGGGGGTTATTTTATTTGCTCGTAGCTTGCGTAGAGTTCTACGTATTTCCCTCACATATTATTTTTTTAAAACAAGTTACGACTAAACAGACAGAGTAAAATATTATACAAATAAGCAGAATGTAAATAAGGAAAACTAAAAAATTAATATAATTAGGATTTACTTTAAAACAAATAAAAAAAAACTGAATTTAATTACTTAAAATATTCCAAAAAAATGTTTCAATTAAGTGTCTGAAATGATCCTTTTTAGTGGCGATTAGATGCCTAAAAATTATACTTTTATCATATGAGCATTTTCTGTGCTTAATTAGGAGGGTGAAAGCACTTATTTCTGTGTCAAAAAAGAGTCATATTAGACTCGAAAATTTACCCTCTTAAAGAGCGACCGTTTTCAAGACCGTTTTCTTTTTTGGGCACTTTATTATACAAGGCTCATAAAAAACTATCTATGGGGAAGTGGGAGGAAATATGACCACTTTTTCTGGCAAAAAATAATATCTCAAGAACGAAACAAGATATTTAAGTTCTAATTTTTGATTTGAGTTCACATGGTCAATAGATTTAAGATTTTTTAACTTTCTAGCACATTCTAACTCAAAAACTAAGCAAGATATTTAGATTTTGATTTTTGATTTGAGTTTATATGGTCAAAAGACCTCATATTTGAAAAAATTGTGGGCGTGGCACCGCGCCCTATTTAAAAATAACTTGCTAACTAAAGAACTAAGCAAGATATTTCAATTTGGTTCTATTTTAGTGTTTTATAAAGCCATTGTCTTCTTTTGGAAAAATAGGTGTGATTTTTTTTTTTAAATTAAAAATTTTTAATTTTTTTTTAATTCAAATCGGCTTTGCACTAGTCTCACAGCTAACAGATTCACATTAAAGGTTTTGAGGTTGCCTCATTAAATTATGAATTTCTCCAAAAGCGCATAGAAATGCATCATATTTCATATTCATATTTCACTCATATGAAAAAAATTAAACAATCTACAACATGGACTAAATTACAATGTTCGACTCGTTTTGACTTGGCTTAAATCTCTTTTTAAAAATGTGATTTAGTTCTAAAAATTTCTTTTGCTAGACTACTTACATTTTCTCTTTATTAAAAAGAAAACACAAGTTTTTTGGACACTTCACATACACAAACACATAATACAAACCACATTGAAAAGTATTCATTTCAATACTTTTGATTTTGTCCATAAAATTTTCAGTATTCGCGTTTTTAAAATCGCACCAAAAAATCGTAAATTCTAAGCTCATGCAAATGTTAATATCAACAGCAGTTTTTAACAGATTTTTTCGCAGTATCGCCATCTATGAAAATTTTTGGTACGCAACATTAAAAATTAATCTATTGTGCATGATATGCAGTTAAAATTATTTATATTCTTTGGTGCACGGGTATAACTACTTACCATTCAAAAAAGTGCGGGTGTCTGCAAACACCCATGATTTCGGGTGTATGCCTGTTTTATATACCCTTGCAGAGGGTATTATAATTTTGTCCAAAAGTGTGCAACGCAGTGAAGGAGACATCTCCGACCCTATAAAGTATATATATTCTTGATCAGGATCACCTCCTGAGTTGATATGAGCATGTCCGTCTGTCTGTCTGTCCGTTTCTACGCGAACTAGTCTCTCAGTTTTAAAGCTATCGTCTTGAAACTTGGCACACACCCTTTTTTTTCTTTGCCGCAGTATATAAGTCGAAACGGATTCTCCTACGATTATACGATTCAAAAACGTAACTTATGTCCGAAAAAACATTGTGTATCTTCTTGATCAGGATCACCTAGTGAGTCGAAGCCTGTCCGTCGCTTTGACTATCTGTTTTTACGCGAACTTGTCTCTCAATTTTAAAGCTATTAATTTAACACATACCCCTCTTTCCTTTGCACGCAGTACACATGTCAGTACGGCCTGGATCAGAAGACTATTATTATAGATTAAATTGTTCAATAAAAGATTGCACATTTACTCAGCTACATTCTTGTTCGAAAGAAAGTATTTTAAATCTCCAATTAGAATCTAAATTCTAAATTTTAGATCCAAAAACAAAATCCATCATTATGCGATGTATCGATAATCGTTTTACAACATGACCAAGCATTTACATGTGGTCAGTTTGAATAATAACGACCGAATCCCATTATTGCTAAAAAGATGGTTAAACTAATATAAAATGATTTTCAAGTTATTTGTACTGTAAATATGAACAAAAGTAGTAATATCCTGGGTGAATCCGATACTTTGCGTATCGGGTTTTTGCAGGTGATTTCTTGTAACAAGCCCCTTTAATAACGCCTATTTTGAACATTGGAAACAGATCGGGCGTGGTAGCTAGAGTACTTACCCTATATGGTCCTAAGTTGTCCACAACGCAAGTAAATGATATGTCTCGTCCTTGGGGTACTGTAAAATTAGTCAATTGAGCTAAAAATTCGGGACCAAGGTCATTGGTTTCGCTTTGTCCTAAAAAAAATAACATTATTTAAAAGTATCTGCAGGAAAATAATGACTTTTGTACCTAATTAAAAAACGTACATGTCGACAATTTAAAAAAAATTACATTTTCTATTTCAAGGAAATAATTTTTTGATTTATGTATAAATTTATGTGGTTTATATGAAAATTACAAATTTGTGGAAATGTGGCACATACTAAATATGCAAGCCTCACTGCTTCGGTATCGGATGGACCCAATTTAGTAGAAGTCCCACACGTGCCAGATCTTCTTCGACCTCCGTGTCTTTTGGGACCAGAAGCTATTATAGCCCGGTCCGAAGTCGATTATAAATGAGTTGATGTTTAGAAGGCTCAATTTCTAGTTGAGTTTCACGTGTTAGACAAAGAGAAGGTTGCTAGACTCTCAGTATGAACAAAGATTATAAAGTACATAGATGGGACATCTCATACAAAGAAAAATGTTCTATGGCGGGTTCCAGCAGTGGAATTTTAAATCTATTTATATTATATTTGTATTCTTTTAATGTGTTTTCCTAAATTTATAATCCAATAAAAAAAAATACAAAATTGTAAAATCACCTTAACATCGTCTCAGTTCGTAGTGGAACCCGCTGTAAAAATGTCTATAAGTGCGGGTTCTACGGCATTTTGGCAGGCCGCGTCGTGGAACCCGCTCTCAAATGTTTTCATTTTTTCCGTCGTGGAACCCGCTGTATAATGAAAACATTTGAGAGCGGGTTCCACGACAAACGCCTGGCAGATGAGATAGGGAGAGAGAGAATTCTATTTTTAGATCGTAACATCTTTGGAACGATGAAAGTTTGAAACGATGTAATCGAACCAATGTAAGAGTAAAGAGATCAGAAATATCTTTTACTATCCTTACTCGTCAACTCTGTTTTTGGTATAGATTCTAGCGCCTCCTTTAACACCAATTTTAAGTATCATAAAATCAACTTCGAGGGTAGCCTAGATGGATAGTGCGCGATCCTTATTCATGGGGTCCTGGGTTCGACTTCATTAGCGGGCGGTTGTTTCAATTTTGACAAAGTTTTAGTTTTATGATTCTTTTTAAATTTACTTATATTTAAATAATTATTTAATTAATTTAAAGAATTATAATAAATAAAAATAAAATAATATTTGAAGAATAAAACAATTTTACAATTGTAAAATTAAAGAAAAATATTACAATTAAAGAAAAATAACAAAAAAAAAAATTATAAAAGAAAGTAAAAGTTCAAAGTCCTTACGAGGATTTGAACACAAAAAAATTAAACACAGATTATCTACTCTATGCATTAAGCTACCACCCTGTCTTGATCTGCCACGATTTAAGATACTATTTGTTCTTCTATTTGTTGTAACTACCACATCGGCGCATTGAAAACAGAAACGAGAAATTGAAATTGAAATTTGGAAGCCAAAACCTTTCTACGCCGTCGTGGGACCAGTCACACATACATACAAAGATTCATATTTTTGTTAACGGATACATGTAAAGAGTTCTAAAAGTAGAATCGTATGCATGTGCGTTCCGCCGTCACCAACAAGCTCGACAAAAAAAGGTAACCGTTTTGGGCCCTGATGTCCCATCTATGTACCTGATAATCTTTGGTTATAGTTATAGTTATATGTGACTATATATATCCCAAACATCGGATTTAGTTGGTCGACTCTTATAAGAATATCATAATATAACTGATTGTATAATAATTAACATAATATAACTCATAATATAATTGATTACAATAAAAAATGTAAAAAAAAGCCCCAAGCTTCAAAAGTACCAAAGTTTGTATTTCTACCAAATACCATTTCCGATCGTTCAGGTATATGGCAGCTATAGGACTTAGTCGGCCAATTGTTCTAAAATTTTGTATGTTGAATAAACTGACCAAAATAGAATCTGTAAGTTAAATTGTTTGTAGTTCGGTGAATTAAAAAAATGTAAATTTTATTTTTTAATTACACAACTTGGTGTTAAGCCTTTATTTATTAAACGTAACAATTACAAGACACTTTTGATTTCTCTTAAATATTTTTTTCAACCGTTCGCGGTCTCGATCAAAATAGGACTGACTTCTTAATACTAAATCTGATCCAAAGAACCTCGGCCATCAGTTGTGTTTAGATTAGAGGCTTAAGATGAAACTGTCGCATCTTATTGTGAAATTCGATTAAGCTGATCGATGCAATTTGGTGGGTACTTGAAACGCAAAAGGCGTAATTGATTGGGCTTCGGAGGGAAGCTGATGTTTACTTTTGATTTTGATTTTTTTATGGGGAACCGAGATCGGACCTCAGAGCCAAAGACAAAGCCGAAGGCAAATGCAGAGTTTGAAAGTATTGTTTATAAAATTCATAAGTGGAAAGCCATAAGTGGCCTGGATTTATGGGTTGGATAATTGAGCCAAAGACAAAGCCAAAGGCAAATGCAGAGATTGGATCGTCCCGATTCAATATGAAATTCGTTTAAATGATCTCTTAATTCTGATAAAAAATTTTCTTGGTTAATAGATTTTTCAGGTTCATCAGGCCGATGTTTTTTGGTTGCAAATAATATAGCATTTTTTTGTTTTATAATAAGTGAAAGAATCAAATATGTAATGATTAAAATTAATAATATAAATTTAAGTGATATTTAAGTATTCTTAATTTTAACGAAAGGGTTTAAAATGTTTATATTATCTAAAGAAAGATCAGAGTTATTTGATTATATGTAATCGGATATTTCATAATTTTTGAAGTGGTTCGTTGTTACGTATTCAAGAATTTTATTTTCCAAATTGGTATATGAGATATTATTAATTTTAGTTGTACCATTAAATATTATTAAAAACGAACCGTTTAAATGGGAGTTGTTAACAATATTGTTCCCATTTATAAGAATGGCACCATCTTGTATGACGTCAATTTTTTTATTTTTTTCTTTTATTTTTTTACAGGTTGATTTCTCACCATTTAATAATCGGGTAAAACAAGTTTTTTTGTTACTTAGAGTGCAATAATTATTAAAAAGTTCGTTCTTAAAATTAGACATTTCGTAAAAAATATTTTCGCATTTTGCGACTTGATTGCTTAATACTAGTTTTCCATCGATTTGGAAATTTTTTATTGGGTATTTTATATAAATTATTAAAAGTTCTTTATGCAATGCGATTTTAAAAGAAGAGATGTCCATTAAATCAGCTATAATTACTGGTTTTTGTTCATTTTTTAATATTTCCAAGATGTCATCATTGTTTAAAATTTTGGTATTAAAAACGTCTATTTTTGCTAGAGTGGTTGTGTCAATTAAATTTTGCAGATCAAATGTTAATAATCGCAAGCGATGTTTTCGAAGTAGTAGATCTTGATCAATAAATACTTTTTTAAAATCATCGGAAAGAGATTCTATTTCTTTGAATAATCGGGAATTGATAATAGACTGCTTATTATTGTTTTCAATTAATTCATTAATTTTATTCTGAATTGTAATAAAATCATCATGGTCCGGAGTTCCAGCTAACCATTTGCAGACGGTGCCTAACTCATTTATCCCTCTTTTTGATCTAGTTGATATTAATTGCGATAAAATTAGTTCAATTACTTTTATGTCATATTTAATTTCCCATTGTGACCTTTTATTAGTATCCCTTTTAATATTATCTGATTCCAAATTTATTATTTCTTTATAAAAGCTTAAGTTAGTTACATGGAATAAATCTGCGTATGAGTCGTACGTCAATACGTATTTATTGTCCTTAAATAGAAGATATTCGTGACTTGTATAGTCAATTATTTCTGATTTTGTTAATAAAATAAGGTGTAGTATGAGCACCTGATAAAACATTTTCTGGGAAAGGAAAGAAAAAAAGGATAATATATAAATACTTAGAATTTTATATTATCTTTGTGAATAATTCTATTTCTATTGTTGATTATTATTTTGTTGGGTAAATTTTCCTTAACTATTTGTTTTTTATATCTGGTTTTAAGTTTATTTCTTTCCCCGTGATTCTTTTCATAGACTACCTGTCCTACATGATATTCTTTTTCTTTTCTGTTTTCGTTATGTGTTTCCAACATTTTCTCTTGAGTATTTTTCAAAAGTTCAGGAATGTTATCGTGCTCTATTTTATTATATAATACGTCAAAAGGTTTTTGGTTCGTTGTAGAATGAATGCTCTGATTATATTCTTGAGCGGCTCTTATTATTATTTCGGAATAGTCAGTTAAATTAAATTCTTCTTTAATGCATCGAGCTAATTCTGTTAATGTAGAATGTGCCCTTTCAACCTGTCCGTTTGACGTGCTGTGCCTCGGGTCTGCGTAATGTAAAGTTAAATTGCACCTTTGTGCGAAAGATTTAAATTGGGCCGAGGTAAAGCTCGGTTCATTATCGGTCATTATTACTTTTGCTTGTGGAAATGTTGAAGAAGTTCCATTACTTTATTTTCGATATTTAAATTATTTTGGATTTCTTTTACTACTAGAAATTTTGAGTAAGCGTCAATACAAGTTATGAAATTAAGATCTTGCGCGAAATGTATGTCAATGTGTAAATTTTCTCCTTCTTTACTTGGAATTGGAGTTTCCCCAATTGGAATTTTTATTGGGTGCCTGTTATATTTATTTTCGTTACAAATCACACAATATACAATTTTTAATATACTCTTTTAATTTTTTAAAACAGTTTGGCCAATAATATAATTTATTGATCTGTTTGTAATTCTCTTCTAGCCCCTTATGAGCACGGCTTTGTGTTTCTTCTATTATTATAGCTTTATCTTCCTCGTTTTCCGCGTCTTGTAGAAAGATTCTTGTAAAAAGGAATGTGTTTGTGAAATTATTTTTTAATGGTAATTGAATTTGAAATAAGTCCTCTAAGGTACAATGAATTCCTAATATAACAGTTGTTAATAACAGTTGTTGTTTAAATTGATTTAACGGTTTACGGGTCTCTTATATTACATTTTCAAAACTAGTTTCAGCTGAATGCTGTGTGTTCTGATCTGAGTCTG